TCTATTCAAGAGAATTCTCGCCTAACTTTTCAAAAGGTCCTATCTAACATTTCACTCTTTTCGAGAAAAACGAAGTTGAAGATTGACAAAATCTTTTTTGATACTATTTTAAACCAAATCAACTTTTGACATTTTTAAGACCTTTAATAGTAAAATGCGGTAGTAAAATTGAAATTGAAATTATAATCTACCCGTTTCATACATTTTTTTTTCTATGAAAGCATGAAAAATGTTACATAGGACATTTTGCTCTTGTCAGGTGTACATTGGACATGTTATATAGGACGTTTTGTTATAATCACAGTTACATAGGTCATTTATGTTTTCAACATTATTTCTCGACTAACTTTTCAAAAGGTCCTAAGTAACAAATGTAAACAAATCGAGTTTATAAATGCACATTGTAACATTTGTACCTAAGAACATTATGCACACACACACATTCAGATTAATGTCAATTGAATTGAGATAATTCTAAATTAACAAAACGTCTGAAGTCAAAATTTGTATTAACGATGTTTCACTGTTACATAAGATGTTTGACTATGTTCATCAAGACAAACGTCTGAAGTATCAGAAAAACCAAAACAGTGCAGATCTGTACTTCGGTCCTTTGTGTTTATACGAGTAAAACGTCTAAAATGTTCAAACAAACCAAAACAATGTGATTGTGCACATCGGAATTTTCATTTCAAGCATTTTTCTACTATTTCCGCGTGGGGGGGGGGGGCAATGAGCATTATGAGTGCATAATTTAAGTTATACGAGTTAAATGAACAATATGAGTATTGGACAATGCATCAACTTTTTTTAACGGTATATCGCAACACTGCCCACAGATGAGTCGAGTTTCTAACGCCTTTGGATACGGTTGTGTGTTAAGTTCGTTCTCTGTTTTGTGCGTGCATTCGCTTTCATAGTTTTCGGCTGCATTTGCCGGATTAGCGCTGGCACTCTGCCTCCCGGACGGTTATACGTGTGTGAGTGTTGGTTTCTCGGTTTCCGAGAAGTTTTAGAATCGAAAAAGAAAACATGATTCATCATGTTTGCAAAATTGGCGTGGTTTGATTGTTTCTCCCGGACCAGAAATTTGTGGCATCGCGAGTGAAAATTTTAATTTTTGTTTATTTACGCGGTGATGAGAAGTGCGCTGATCTATTGTTAGGGTTTTGCGATGTGCATTGCTTTTGTGCACGGAGTGAATTGAAAAAGAAAAGCGAAGAAAAGTGATATTTGGTTATTGTGTGGTTGGAGTGGAGGGAAAAAAAATATGCGAGGAAGCATCGGAAATGCGCTCCCGGGTGAAGTGATTTGGTGAGTACGTTCCAGTTGAAGATTGTTGACAAGTGTATTTGTGGTGATGCAAATTATGGTTTAGATGACGCATGGCTTCAAACATTTTGTGTATCCAAATCAAACAAACTACATACTAAATACGCACAGGGCATCGTCTGCTGACCATTGCCGCGGGTATATCGTGGGAGTCCCAGGTACCCGGTTCAAGCTTTAGTTGGCGGCGGTGGCTCTTCTTGACCTTCTACCCCCTGAGTAGTTAGTGTGAATAAGGGCGTCTATGTGATGTTTTGCTGTACCTGTTGTGGACATTTAGTGCATCCTGTTCCCTTAACTTGTTGAGGACACCCTGTCTTGCCTCAAAAGTTACCCTTTTTGAAGTACTAGTCTTCACAACATAAAGGGCACCATTACGGAGCATGAGATTTGATCAAATTATTCGCAGTTCTACTTGTCAAACGCCCCCGGCTGGGTGAGGGATAGAGGATGACACACACACACACACACATATCGCAACACTGCCCACAGATTGTTTTGGTCGATCGTTGGTGGTCGCGTGAGCTGCTTTTTATTTGATAACAGTGTTATTTTAGGGGCTGTTCACTAACTACGTAGACAGCTTTTCGATATGCTTGACCCCCCCCCCCTCCCCATGCGTAGACAATGTCCATATAAAAGTTTTAAAATTTGTATGGGCCGTGGATAATTGTCAACCCCCCTCCAAACCCCCCCCCCCCCCACGCGGAAATAGTAGAAAAATGCTTGACATGAAAATTCCGATGTGCACAATCACATTGTTTTGGTTTGTTTGAACATTAGACTGATGCAAAATTTGACTTTTTCGCTCCACAGTGCTTAAATGGTTTCCAATCGGGTCGTGATTAGCCTCCAAAAGTTACAACTCATTTGGTTAGAAACAGACTTCGCACAAACCATTTGAAGTTTACATGTAAATTACTATGGGAAATCTCAACTTTTTGTTCATTGCCTTCTAGTCTTTTTCCATATTGAGCTGCAAAACAGCTCGATAGCTATTCTTATAGAAAATTTTCTCAGCTACAACTTTGCTGAAGATCATTTCTATGTAAAACGAGACAGGAAATAGTTATTAATTATTTGAGAGATTGGTAAACTTATGACATGATCAAGCAGCTGCTCTGTAGGCAACACTGTATTTTGCAGTGTGACATAGTAGCCATAATTTTTGTGTCCTATTCAACGCCCCAGAAACACCAATGTTGCTTTCTGAGCAGTTGATTGAGCATGATCATAAGACATCAGTGCATTAAACCATTAATAACTTTCGATCCTTGCATTTAATCAAAAAGTGGTCTTGAGCAAAGTTGTAGCTGGGAAAATTTCCTACAAGTAAAGTTGAAAGCTTTTGAAGCAGACCGATATGGTGAATTATTAGATAGACATGAACAAAAATCTTGGTTTTACCATAGTAATTCCCATACAAACTTCAAATGGTTTGTGCCATCTCAGTTTCTCACCAAATGGGTTCAAATTTTGAGAGGTTAGTCAGGATTCGATTTGGAATCGTTTAAGTATTGTGGAGCGAAAATCTCAAAATTTGCATCACTCTATTGAACATTTTAGACGTTTTACTCGTGTAAACACAAAGGACCGAAGTACAGATCTGCACTGTTTTGGTTTTTCTGATACTTCAGACGTTTGTCTTGATGAACATAGTCAAACATCTTATGTAACAGTGAAACATCGTTAATACAAATTTTGACTTCAGACGTTTTGTTAATTTAGAATTATCTCAATTCAATTGACATTAATCTGAATGTGTGTGTGTGCATAATGTTCTTAGGTACAAATGTTACAATGTGCATTTATAAACTCGATTTGTTTACATTTGTTACTTAGGACCTTTTGAAAAGTTAGTCGAGAATTTTCTGTTTAAAAAAAAATAATTAAAAGATATGATATCCGACTATGTTCGTTTGAAAAATATTCCTCTCCAACAAATCTAAAAAAAAAAATTAATTTTTTTTAAAGTCCATGTCAACAAACCACTACCAGATGTCAAAATAAGTGAGGTTAACCCGACGGTGCAGCTCCCTATAGATTTAATTAAAAATGTGTCATTTGGCAAACAAAATTTAAATCGTAATGGGAGATAACTAAAAAATGAAAATTTTCATTTGGGCTCATGAAAAAACACATGTTTGAGAAAAGAAAAAGTGATTTATATCAAATGAAGGTACGACATGTTTCTACAAAAAAAAATCAATGAACATTTGAATAATGTCCGTTATCAGCTGTTTGACGTAGCTTTGTCGAGATGTGAGAACATGAGCGTTGTACAGCATCTTAATCGATTTTAAGAAAGGATCTTTTGATTTGATTTATCAGTTGATTACAATTCTTGACCCCCCCATTGTTTTTGTACACCAACCAACTCATATTTCCAAAAAAACTCTTCAACTGAGCGACACTGAGGCTAGTTTGTTGGATTGTGGTTTTTTGGTACATACGGGAAATTTTGATTTTCCAAGAAGGTTAGTGTTTTGTTAACATAATGCGATGATGCTTTATCAAAACATGTAGTTTCTTTTTTTTAATAATTACTTTATCTGTACAGGCTCAACCGAATAAACTTTACAGAGCCGAGTTATCATTTTCGTTATACATTACTGATGTCTTATATTATATATAAGTTAAAGGAGCTGGACCGGATACTCGCGGTTGTCTCGAGGTTTGTGGAGATTTACAATTTTTTTGGATGGGAAAAGGGAGAGGGATGTTTGAAATGTGGTTTACGATACAAATATTTAATTAATCCTAAACATGTAGTTTCTGTCTGCGTGATATTTTCGAAGAAATGGAATCAATATTTTCTTCAAACATTGATTTTTGTAAACTTCTTGGTTAATAGCCAAACAGCTAGGCTTGAACCATGGCATAGAAATTCCTCTCTTCGATATGACGATATACAGCATCACTTTCTGTTCAAGCTTGTGTTTGAAAGAGCATCTTACATTTGGAGATGTTGTACAACTAATATCTGGATAATATCGTAACCTTTATAATCCAAAACGAGAATTTCTTGTCATCCAACTTGATTTCTTTCGACAACCTATTTCATTGTTTTCAACGTTTTACAGATGTGAGGTTGCGTGCACTTGAACTTTTTCGTGGCGTCCCTCTGTCTTATCGAATCTTTGTTGTTGTACGTATTTTGTAGCGATAGAAGTCCTTTTTAGTTCATTGTTTTGGCTGGTTTTCCACTACTTCTCTTCCAAACTGTAGTCAAGGATGCCAGAATACGATAAACAGTAGAAATTGGTACATTCTCTGATTTGAAATGATCCACCGTAAACTTTTTCCCATGATATTCGTGTATTTGAATAGATGTGCAATGCGCTCACTAAGTGCTTTTGTTTTGATGCCATTTTGAACACGAATGAGCATGTAAAACCATTATTTTTTTAGTTTTGTGGAGAGAGAGAAAGATCATTGATTTCCATAAGTTGTCTCTTTTTTGTGGACATTAAATGTCATCATCATCAAATTTTGTGGTTTGGTATGAGAGAATTGAAGCTATTCTCAATTTTTTAGTTATCACCCGTTATTCGCAGCAACTAGCAATAGAAAATGTTTCTTATTACCCCTGTTTTTTATCAGCCCATCTTACCCTATTTTCAATTATATAATTCCTCCCCTCTATTTCTATTTCTAAACCAACTTTGCAGATATTCTTAAACTCAACCTCGTAACACCATGACATTCACGTGATGGATACGGAAAGCATCGTCAGTGAACCTTCACCTAGCATGAGAGGATTTCCGACCGAGAGATCCACATCAATGGTAAGAATACAAACTAGCCTTTTTTCGAAATGTTTCACAATGGAGTCAAATATAAGTTTAAGGCAAGACGTATGTAATGAGGCACTTCCTATGACTCTTGGAATCTTTATTGGGTGTGAAACAACGAAAATTGGTTTGTGGGATTTGAATATTCAATTCAAAAGCTAAAAAGCACGCGCACGGTTGTTGATTCTTTGACTCTTTTGTTTGGTTGTTAAGTATAGCATGTTAAAGGCAGTCGGCACGCTTGGGTTTGAACTGCACAAGGTCGTCAATTTTCTAGGTGTGGATAATCTGCCGAACGCAAGAGAAGGCAATCTGTATTTGTTCTATGTGGCAGAGGGTATGCTATTGACGTCTCGTGGTCTGTCCGTATACTCCACACCCCTTTCGGTTGAACTTGACGTTAAAACCACGTGGAATTGTACGAGTTGATGCATCTAGCCAATTCAGTGTCCTGTAATTAAATTGAAATTATCTCCCGTGCTCATGCTCACACCTTAAGCCTAAAATTTGACTTTGATTGATGTGTGTGATAATTAGACCAGCTGGCTGGGTGTGCTACCCCTGTTCACATGCAGTTAAGAACGTATCGTAGTTGCCTTTTTGTATTAGCCTAGGCAATATTTTGTAAAATTAACGTTTTTTTTTAACGAATACGGAATTTGAAGCTACCAGAATTTTTCTGTAATTAATCAATAAAATAGAATGCCAATTCAAATGAATTCATTGCTTATTCATTCAATTTTCCCTAGACCGTTCTATCGCCTCAGGGAAATACACATCAGCAACAACAACAACAACAACAACAACAACTACAACAACCACCGAGGGTTTCTCAACTGGAAACGCTGGAAGCAAAGGTACGTCATGCTTGCTAGCCAGACACATTAGACAGCGAAAGGTTACTCCAGTTCAGTAACCACAATAAACCCCGTGAAATAATTTGAGTGATATTCATTAGACCGTTTCTATCTCGTTCACTTGTGGCTCTACCGTACGTTTCAGATGGCCAGCATAGAAGTTTCGCTGAGTACTGCGACACCTCGTCGGCGGAAGGGAACCTCTCTCGGAGGAGGCTCTCTTTCGGCCAGATCATCGCCACGACCGGAATCTGCTCCAAGCAGAGAAATGCGATCTGCCCTTCAGGATCGAGAAGCAGTCATTCAAAAGTATGTGCAAAGCCTAGACAGGTGCTTCCTATTGCAAGAACGATTAAATGTATCAATATTTTTTTTATAGTTTGCGATTGCAGCTCGGACTGGGTAAACTTCCTAGACCGACGGGACCAGCACTTGACGATGTTGAACGACCGGCTGCCGAACAGAAGCTTATGAAGTTGCGTTCCGATGTCGAAAACAAAAAGGTGGCTATAAGAAACTTAAAAATCACGCTGGATAAGTTGGACATTACCGAGTAAGTAAAATTAATATTTTATTTCAATGGATAATTTATATTTCAATCCTCGAAAAATCAAACTTGTATGTTTATAATTACTACACTGCTTTGCTTGTAAGAAAATAAAACAAATTAACTGAAATCTCGCTGACACCATTAAACCGATACATCTCTGTTGTTTGTATTTTTCTATGAAATTTCCAAGACTTATGAACATGCAATTATGCTCAATATTCTTACAAATTTTACGCAATTGTAATCTGATACTTCTGAGCTATGCTCATATATGTAATAATGGATAACTACACTCAAAGAATAAATCACATATCCAATGGAAAATATTCATTAGAATTTCAGATAGCTTTCAGTGATATCATAATTGGGAATTGCACCACAAAATCACATGAAATTTAAGTGATTTATCATATAGAACTAATTTGATCTTATGAATGTTATGTGAAATTCACATAGATAGCATTGGTTTTGTTAATGTAAAAATATTATGTGCATTCCCAATAGAAACTACATGAACATTTTTTTTTCCGTGTAGCTGTTCTCTTCCTGATTTTTTATACTGAAATAATTTGTTGTTTCTCTTCCTGATGTTTATATAGTTAGGGTAGAGAACTACTTTGGCCTAATCGCCCATTTTAGGCCTATCGAGCAGAAAGCTTCAAATAAATCCTTGATTTCAGAGTTAACAAGTCAATTATGCGTTTGGTACGATACTATAGTTAATAAGCTACCGAACGGAGTCAGTTAGAACGCGTGATATGAAGGTTTGCGCCCATTATTCCCAAAAACAAAAGAAGCACTCCGACCGAATCAATATTTATCTTCATCCGATAGGCCGAAGTGAATTCATTGGCGTTTCAATGGCGTTTCAACGCGTTAGACCGAGTTTATAATCCGTTGGCCGAGTTTGGCGTCAAGAAGCAGTGTTAGACTTTTGACAATATCTCAACGATTTGTTTCTCTTTATCGGTACGTACGGAAAGGCAAATAAATTTGAAAGCCATCAGTAATAATAACATTCCGTTAGGTGCTAAACTGCGCTAGATTAAGAAAGAGTAAGTACGGGTTGTGCTTAATAGGCCGGAAATGGGGTAGTTAGCCCTATCTTTTAAAAGTAGGAAAAAATAATGTGAAAGCATGTTTTATTCATCGTGCCAAAAACTACGAAACTAGTAGGAACTCGAACGAATTCCAAAGAAGGAAAAAATACTTCAAAAAATCACATTTTAATTGCTTGCTAAACTTTAAACCTGAATCTTCCACATTCCAGGGGATATTTGAAATTTACAATAATTCTAGATATCGAATGTTAAAAGCTTAAACAGTCAAAGCAAAGTCATATTTTTTCATGACTTTGCTTTGACTGTTTAAGCTTTTAACATTCATCGAAATGTTAAATGCAAATCATGAGATATGCAGAACTGTTCATGATTTCAATAATTAGAGGAAATGTCTCTAATGTTGTCCTATGGATCTAAGATTGGGCCCATCGCTAAAATCTGCTATTTATCAATTTTATCCAGATGAACGCGTTATTGGGACGTTACTAATGGATATTTTTGGTTACTATTGAAAATTTAGTCGATTGCTGAATTTAGGTATGGACCCAAATTAGGGACACTTAGGCCGACATTACCTGCATTTCCCCTACTACCAGGAAAATAAAACATACATTTGGCTTCGACCTTTTGTCCCCCGGTCTTTTGACTTTTGACCTCAAGTAAACATATTTAATCCAATTTGTCATCAACCCTTTTAACTTAGTTTTTCTACTTTTTCAGCAACATTGACATAAGAATCCGCCAGGCCGAGCTGGAATACGCACTGGGCAGAGAAGAACTACAGCTATTGTCGCTAGTGGAGGAAGGAAGAGCACTCCAGGCTCGATTAGAGAAATCAAAACCCGAATCTAACTCACTGTACGGAATGCTGCAATCTGGTGTCAATTTGAGCCTACAAGCTGTCAAAGCAACACCAGGCCGATGGAATGCTAGTATGAAGACGGATTTTCCTGGTTTCTGGGTTGACTGGGCTCTGGATGGCGAAGGTCTTCAGCGAGGCGATCGTATCATTGAAGTAAATGGAAAAATCGTCCCAGGTAGGACAAGAGAAGAACTACAGAAGCTCATGAGCACTTCTGGAAAATGTGAAATGGTTATTCTGAGAAAAAAATCATTGCCATTTTCTCAACAGCAGCTGCAACAGTCGCAAGCCGATAATGTGCGGCTTCAACATAGGATATCATACTTAGAAGATCAAGTGAGAGAACTGATAGCTGCTAGAGACAATAATACAGATAGTGGGAGTTCCCAAGCGAGCATAATAAATGGTAGTGGTGGAGCACACGTTACGTCAATCAGTATAACGTCACCACCTTCAACTCCTCCGGATAATAAGCCACAAGTCTACCAAAGAGGTTCATTTGTCACGACCATCATAGACGGAAAACCATCTAAAATTCCACCAAACAGTGAAAGTCCAAAGACAAATCATGGTCACGTGACCACAACAACGATTATCAAAGAATGTGATAAAATTAACGGAGAATTAACAAGTGGCAACGTTCTCAAACACAATCTCAGGAACTCCATGTCGTCATCGAAAATATCCATCAACAGTGATATGAGTAGCAGTACGGCACAATACTATCAGAAAAAGGAACGTGATAAACGTGAACGCGAAGCACGCCGATTAGAGCGTGAAAGATACATGCAACAGTATGGGTCTAAACTACAAAGAAGCACTAATGATTTGGACAGTGATTCTGATCGACGCCATCTTCATTATCATCGATCTCATGCAAGAAGCGTGGAATATCTCAATGGAACATCAGACAGGCGCAAACTAACCCTTCCTAGCGAATCTATCTCGCGACGAGAAATGAGAAGTGTGAAAAGCTTAGACTTTGAGAGTGATAATAATGAACAATATGCGTCTGAACCATCTGGGCCAATAAGAATGAGACCTGCTCCACCAAAGAAACCGCTTCGTTTGTCCTTACAGCGAGCGCAAAGCCTTCAAACTGTCGAAGGTATTCTGATAGACGCATCAACCGACAAAAAACGTGGCATGAAACGATCTCATCGCAGTGGGAAAAGCTCAGATATGTCTGCACAGTACATTGAGAACAACGTTCCTCTTCAAACTGCATCTCTAGGTCGGCAGAAATACATATGAAAAGTTTGCCATCGAAAGTTATGTTTAACGTACTGAGAAAAAAAAAGAGTTAAGCAATGTTTATAAATAGAGTGCATTATATTGAAGAAACATCTTTGGAGGTTTATATTTTGGCAATACATATTTAATAAAATGCATTTCTGTGTTATTTAATCGTTCATATAAAATGTTCATGCCTGTTGAATCTTCTCATCAACTGAGTAAAATTGTATTGCTTGGGAATATCTACTAATGGTTCCTAGTATGGTCTAATAACGGATAACCATGATTGCCCAACTAATATTTTTAGCTCCTAAATAGCTTATAATTGTAGTTGTAATTGGTGAGTGTATAGGCTGTGCCAACCACAAAGTTGGCTTATCTAGGGTCTAACCCCCTAGTCTATACACCTACTGTCCTTCCCGTTGCACTCGTCAGCTCGTGCGATACTCTAGACACACATGGGTGGTCATATCCAGGTCCTTCCCTGCGTAGGCTCGTGTCCGTCCAGGTTCTGGTACATTAACTTATCTCTATGCATAGTAATTATAATAACGCATAACCATGATTGCCCAACTAATATTTGTAGCTCCTAAATAGCTTATACACTCAATTCTGTTTTTACGTGGATTTCACTTTTTCGATTTTTCCATAATGCAGAATTTTTAACACCACCATATTTTTAAAACATTGTTTGTGAGTTTTTTTTTGAAATAAATTGCATTAAATTTAGTTGCTATTTGAGATCACACGATCAAAAATCGCGTAAAATCGGATTTGAGTGTACAGGCGCTTTTCCTCTGTTCGGGGCATAAATCTACTACAACCGTTCATTTAATCTATTTTTTTACGTAGAAGTACGTATTTGTCGACTATACTGGGGTGCAAATAAAAAAATATGTGTGGTGGAATAGTGTTAGGTTTTGAACACTTGTAACTTTGTCATTTATAGATGAAATTAAAATTCACATACGCCAATCGATAGGATATTTCTTTATGTATCTACTGAAATTAATAATTTTCCAATTTTCCATCCAAAAACTTTTGAAAAAATGAACAAATTATAAATTTATCACTGTTTTCATGAAATAAACATTTTTCCCAAACCCAGTCGTCATAATCGAGTACCACTTGGTTGCACATCGTTCTGCTTTAACCTGAAAAGATATAAAACAGCGCTGATGTCATGCCTTTGCTCATTACCACTTCGGATGGCGTGGCACTGGGATCTGCAGCTAGCAGGAGCAAGTCATCGGTTAATGTGGTGTTTACATCTATGCGGATTTGCTAGCGCTAGTGCAAAAAAGCAGCCAGTATAATGTAAGCAGGGCATCAGCGTCTATCAGCATGAGTTAATTGGCTAGTACACTAGCGCTAGAAAATCCGCGCATTTGAATTTACATAATTTATTACATTCCAGGAAAAATACTTGAACCAATTCTTATTGTTAGTACAAGCACCCCCCAAACGCACACTGCTTTGCCAATCATAATTACATTCCTTGATGACAAAGTCAGCTTTTTTTTAAATCTTTATTTAAGAGATTTTTAGCCGAAGGCTAGTTCATCTCTGACAAAGTCAGCAATGACACCGATATATTGACCATTAGGGTCAACTTAACAACCCCCTAAAAATTTGAACGAATTTGGTTATTATATGGATTTGCTGGAGAACTTCGATGATTTTATGGGAAAATGTATGGTAAATGGAACGGTACTATTCATTTACTTGTGAAATATTCAGAATTTGCTCAATTTTGACCAAACCTGAGACTTACAGCGAATTTGTTTATTATTCAGGTTGGAACCAGTTCCAACCCGTGCGAAAACGTCAGTTCGTCAGTGCGAACCTCAACCCGAACCATGTTACAAAACCAAACTTTCACACTGACGATTGACAGGCAACAAGCAGACCCAATCTTGATACCCGTTCTAGGTTGGAACTCAATAAAAAAAAAACCGCTATTAGATTTGGAAAACTATGCAGAACAACTTTGTCTAACTTTGCGTGGAGCCTTGGCCTAAAGTAAAAGGTTAGTTACTTTTTGCGAATCAATTTACGATTTTCGACAAAGTTTTTCTGTAAAGTTTTCCCAATCTAAGTTCCAGGTTTCCAGGAACTTTTGACAAGCAACTGAATAGTTTCGTTCCGTTTCTCATATATTTTCCCATACAAACGTAAAAGTTCTCCCTTAAAGCCATTTCGAAACCAAATTCGTTCAAATTTTGAACAGATACTGGGGACCTCAATATAGATTGAAAGTGCAGTGGGGAGCAGGGAGTTGTGATCTTCCATAAAAACTTGACCCACCCTATTGACCATGCATCCGAGCCTTAATCATAGCCATTTCAATATAAAAAACGATGAATGAAGATTAGGAATCACATAAAAGATCATCCTCGGTGAATGCAACCCGAGTCTTGTCACTATCAAGTATAGTATCAACTAATAAGGCGTAAAACGAAACAATATTAGGGTTTGTTCCTTTGATTACTGGAAAAAAAACTATGTTTCCCTAGATTTGTTTTCCGTAGTGAGTACCAATGCTACCGACGCCAGGGAGGCAGCTCCCACCCCTGAACCCTACCTATTAACCCATCAACTCATGGACCGGGGACCAACGGCTTTACTTCCCTTCAGAAGGAAGGCGTGATCAGAGATTTTATTGAACCCCGGCCTTTTTGAGTGCGAGGCAGTTATTTACGCTTACCACTACACCACCGGCGCTGCTAACCTGTTTCCCTAGTAAGAAGTAGTAAGGACTAGAGATCGGGGGTAGATTTGAAACTGTAACGCACCACACAGAAGTGATCTACCCGTGTTACAGGGTATTAAATACCTACAAACCCAATATTATGTAGAATATCTCACGACTGAACAAACGTTACCCACAATTCCAAAATAGATGTTCATTAGAGGGTTAAATAATTTTAACCATAAAAAGGTGATGATTACTTTTTGGAAATTTGGCTTTATTTCTACCATTATTGACTTTTGTACCTATTATGGGATATGATAGAGTTAGCACAGACTTACAGACATAACTCATTGCATACTTTTCACTATAAAACATCGTCGGTAAAACACTACCGCCATCTGTTGAGCATACTGTGATGGGCAGCACGCTGAACAGGTGGCGGTAGTGTGTAAACTTCAAACGCAAGGGAATTTACTATGCGCACCACAGATGGCGGTACTACCAATTAAAACATTTTTTAATTGACCATTAAATGCGTGTTCGACGAACAACTTGCGAGTGTTATGTCTGTTTGTCGTTTAATCTAGGAATTTAAAAGTTTTTGCGTCAGATTTAATCAATTATCGGACAAAAATTAAGCTATAAAGTGAACATGTTCGCACATTTATGAAAAATTAATAAAGTAATGACCCACGCATCATGCTTTTATCTTTCAATAATTTCAGATAACCGTACTTCCAAATCTTTCTCATTTATCTTCAAGATGGTTCTGATCCCGCCTAGTAGGGAAGTAAAGCAGTTGGTCCCCGGTTCATGAGTTGATGAGTCGATAGGTAGGGTCCAGGTGTGGCGTGTGGGAACTGCCTACCTGGCGTCGGTAGCATTGGTGCTCAGCACGGAAAACAAGATCGACGGATAACAAATCAAAGAAAAAAAAATCTTCAAGATGGATGATTAAGGTATGTTTAGTGGAATAAGACCTCTGAATAAACACATGCATTTCGAAGACCATTTGAAAAAAAAATCAAAATGGAGGTTGACTGTATTATCGACCGTGGGATTTTTATGGATAATCTCTTTTACTCATTTGTATGGAGACATTTCTAAAAGCATAAGTTACAAAGGTTACTCTATAGACCGAAGTAAATTTTCCATGCTTTTGCTCAAAAATTTGCTCGAATATGAGGAAAATCAACCCGGCTTGCAATTGCTCATTACAGCTAAAATGCTATTTTTCGTAATTATGAAACAATGAGATACTATAATGATAATTTTTATTTGTAAGATGCAAGAAGAAGTGGTAAAGTTTGTGTATGACATATAAAATTTGTCAATTTTGCTTTCAGAAGGTCACAACTAGCGATTAGCTGTAACGATGAGCAACGCGATGAGCGAGCAATCAGCGATCATAAAATCGCTAGTTGTGACCTTCTGAAAGCAAAATTGACAAATTTTATATGTCATACACAAATTTTACCACCTCTTCTTGCATCTTACAAATGAAAATTATCATTATAGCACAGACAAACAGACGTAACTCTTTGAAAAAGTTTTTCTTGAAAACATAGTATCACAAAACATAGGACCTCAGTAGCGACATCTTTCAGGCTTCTCGCGGAAAACAAGCTTGCTCGCTAACTCGTAAACAATATTGCATAAAAGTTCTATAGAATGTATAGAAACGTCAAAGTGATCCGATGCCAGCGCTGCGGCGAGTAGTTCGCGGAACTTATAATATTCAAATCAACCGTTAAATACGTGAACGAAGATACACAATGAAGAGTTACGTCTGTTTGCCTGTGATTATAGTATCTCATTGTTTCATAATTACGAAAAATAGCATTTTAGCTATAATGAGCAATCGCAAACCTGAAATCAACAACAATTTTACTCAGTGTTGGATAAAAATAGACTGAGTGAAACCTCTCTTGATTTTTCTCATATTAGAAGAGTTTTTCCTGTAAAATCGACGAAAATTTTACTTAGTTAAGCTGAAAACTAATCTTACTCAGATAGTGAGTAATTTTTACTTAGGAATATGGCGAAATTCCTAAAAGCGTAGGTCACATTTGATTACGGCAAAAAATAATTACTTACTCGTGAGTATTTTCTACCCAAAATTAAGTTCAATTGACTCATATACTCAATAATAGCTCATTGAACGATAGTCATGGGAAAGTCGAATCTCTCGCTCCGTTTTTGAAAACAACAAAAAGAGTGAGAGTATGGGATGCAAAACTCAAAATTACCCAAACTTAAGTAAAAAGAACTTAAATTTAGGGTAATTTTTTTCTCTGTGTACGTTTTAACAGGGGTGAGATAAGGCTGTCAATCTTTGCTTACCTCGTATAACTGGTTCGAAACGTAAGCAAGCCATCCCGAAAAAAAAATATTATAATAAAACAACGAA